GGAGAGGCATAGTTTTGGATTAGCACAGCAATTTTCTAAAGATTGATGCACCAGAGCTCTAGGAAAGAATACTTCTGACTTCATATGTGAAGCATGGTGCCCTAGGGGTAAGAAACTGCACTGTAATCCCAAAGGCAAGGGGATCAAATCCACTAGATGCTTAATGAGAAAAGAATGGACAATCTCCTCCTTTGCTATTTACTGTCTCTAAAAACCTGCCGGAGGGTCAGCTATAGGTTGGTTCGGATTTGATGATCCACAACAACAACAGCATCAACCTGACCACAAAAAGAACACAGAACATGAAGAAAAGGTGTTAAATCTTATTACTTGTAAGTAAGGATACAAAAGAAGTAAATTTGTTTAATTCCACAAATTAAAAGATAATTCAACACTAGAAAAATAATTTCTCATCTTCATAGCTCTACAGAATAAGAATGTAAAACAATTTCTAATGATGGCTTTAAAATGGCATTTGGGAAAAAGTTATTGATTTAAAAAAAGAAAAACCGCTCTATAAAACATAAATCCAAGGAATACTTTTCAGTATACACACAAGCATTATACCTCATAAAAGGTGCTTTCCCTATATTCCAAAATAGGAACTAAGAAAAGCTATACATATTATGACAATATTCTAGAACACAAAATTACAGATTTTAGACAGTATAATGAAATTGTGCTTATGTGAAACCTACACTTGGACCAAGAGGCAGTTGTCAGAACAAAGTAAGGAGACACTGCATGGTTCAAAATTGGGAAGGGCATCTACCAGGGATGTATTCTGCCTCCATACCTTTTTTGGGGGGGTGGGGGGACATATACATGGCTGTTTAATAAAAAGAACATCACACCAATTTATCCAAAATGTTTGCTGTTAACAGGCGATTTGGAAATGAAAACCATTAAAAACCCTTATCTCTGCTGGCAGGGGTCTGGGAATGGAAGTCCTTGATGGTTTCCCAGGGAAGAACAAGGTACCTAGATGTGGACAGTTGACCTAAATCCAGGGCAGTTTGGAGCACTCACCAGGCCATTTTCTGGGCAGCTGCAGTGCAGCCCACTCCCCTCACAATGGCTCTTTGGCTTCTCTGCCAGTGAGGCAGCACAACAACTCAACTGCCCTTCCCTAGTCACTCCGAATGGAAATACTGCAGATGCTGTATCTACTGGAGCGGTGGCCTCTGAAAGAACAGCGTTCATTCTTAACTAAAGCAGGCCAGTCAACTTGAAAGAACAAACTTGGAACTTTAACATTTACCATTAAAATTATCAAAGTTAATTTATCTGGGAACACTACAAAAACATTTTCCTTCCCAAGTTGTAGCATGCAACCAACTCATCTCCTGGGCTTGCTGTTCACCAAAGTGTCAGGAAAAAAGGCCAAGCAGTCCTGGACAGTTTCCTATGTCTCCATACCTTTTCAATCTGTATGCAAAACAGACCATCCGAGATGCTGGGGCTGTTCAAGGAGGAATGTGGCATCAGGCTTGTTGGAAGATTCATCAACAACCTGCGTTACGCAGATGACACAACCCTGCTTGCTGAAACTGAGGAGGACTTGACGCGTTTTCTGCAGAAGGTCAAGGACTGCAGCCTTCAATATGTATTGAAGCTCAACCTCAAGAAAACAAAGATTCTCACCACTGAGCCAATTGGTAGCATCAGTATGGATAGTGAGATAGCTAATAGTTTTAGTTGTTTGGCTCTACAGCCAACACTCTTGGTACCAGCAACCAGAAAATCAAGAGATGAATTGCATTGGGAAAGTCAGGGATCTTTCCAGAGTACTGAAGAGCAATGATGTCAGGCTGGAGACTAAGGTGCACCTGATCCAGGCTACAGTCTTTACAATTGCACACTATGCTTCAGAGAGCTGGACAGTGACTAGGGATGATAGAAAGAGAATTGATGCCTTTGGACTGTGGTTCTGGAGAAGAGTGTTAAATATACCATTGGTTGCCAGGAGAACAAACAGGTTTGTCCTGGAGAGGGTGAAGCCAGGCTGCACCTTGGAAGTAAGGATCCTGACGCTTCATCTGGCATGCTTTGGGTATGTTGCAAGGAGGGACTGGTCCTTGGAGAGAGACATCATATTTGGGAGAGTGGAGAGACAACGCAGAGAAGAAGACTCTCGATGAGATGGATTGATTCAGTGATTAGGGCAGTGGGAATAGGTGTGTCAAAGACAATGAGGTTGGCAGAGCAGGGTTTAGGGCTCTTATACATATGGTCGCTATGAGTCACAAACGACTTGATGGCATATAACAACAATGAAATAATCTGTGTAATCAAATGGAATAACTTTATTTTTTAAAGCTAGAAAGGAGGAATTAAAAGACAGACTAAGCTGAAGTCAGAATCCTTGACTGTCTACCAATAACTCTGCTGCACTTGAGTAGCTCAGAAAGAATTAGTTTGTGGCTTCTCCCTTCTACGAGATAACTCAAATTTACCTTGCATACTAAAGGTCCTCACTCTACGGTCTGCCGGCCACCTGTTTTTGGCTTTCTTAATTGTGATTTGAGTGAACATTTCTAAATCATATTGTTTTTCATTCTATTATTCAAATTATCATTTATTTTATAGCATTAATTACAACATCTATAATACTGTATGAGGGACCTCTGGTGGCCTAGTAGTAAGAAGGAAGGCAGTTCCAAGTCCATTATGAGTCAATGGTATATAACACCACCACAATGTACATTTTTTCCATCCCATCACCCACCTTAGTGTCTTTTAGCTAGTTTACTAATTTTTACTTCCTTCTCTTTTCTTTCCCATCCATGATAACAATCAAAAAATTAGTTTTTGTTTAAACTTTTATCATTTATAATAATGGTCTTATACAACATTTGTCATTTTCTGACCGACTTCTTTCACTCACCATAATGTCCTCTAGATTAATCCATTTGCTCATGACTGATTACTGTATGTCTATCTTGTATCTTGTCAATTTGCTGAATCATTCCATTAGCTCCAGCAATTTTCTTGCTGAGTCTTTTGGTTTTCTACATATGGGATCATGTTGTTGTGTACCAATGTGTTGGAACCGACTCATAACTGACCCTCCCCCAACAGGTTGTCAGAGGCATTCTAAAGGTGCATTTGAACTTCAGCGCATCTTAGAACGAAGCTACCAATATCTCCCTTATTGCACTGGCACTGTGACACTTATGTGTCAAATACGATAATGGTTACCCATGGTGGATAGTGTTTAGTGGAGCTCCCTGATTAAAACAAGCTTGGAAGGAAGCAGGAGTGGCATCCACTTCTGAAATGGCTTGCTTCTGGAAACTCTATGAATGTGGAGAAGTGATGAAAGTTATACAAGTGTTCAGGTTTTTTGTTCATAAGGGTTGTCCATGATTAGACGGCACTTAAAAACAACAGGACTTCCTACAATAATGAAGAAGAGTGCTGACAGATATAATTTTTGTATGGTTCTCATTTGAAAGGGAAATGCCTTACATCTCTTTCCATTCAGACTAATGTTAGTCATTGGATTTGTTATGTATTATCTAATGTTGAGAAACTTCCTATCTTGTTCTGTTGAGTGCTCTGAGGAGAAAAGAATGTTGAGTTTTGTCAAATGTGTTTTCTGTATCTATGATCATGTAGTTCTTTTTCCTTGTTTTATTTATGTGATGGATAATATTGACCGCTTTTCTAATGGAAAACCACACTTACACGTCAGATGTGAATCCCAATTGATCATGATGTACAATTTTTCAAATATGATGTTGGTTTCTATTGGCTAGGATTTTGCAGAGTGTTTGCATTAACGTTCAAGAGGGATGTTGCTGTTGTTGTTGTTGTTATGTGCCGTCGAGTTGTTTGCAACTCATAGCGACCCTATGTACAACAGCCCTAAACCCTGCTCTATCCTGTGCCAATCGCATTGCCTCTGACACACCCATCCCGATTACCCCAGTCACTGAATCAATCAACCTCATAGAGGGTCTTCCCCTCCTGCGCTGTCCCTCCACCCTACCAAGCACGATGTCCCTCTCCAAGGACCTGTCTCTCCTTACAACATGTCCAAAGTATGTCAGACGAAGCTCCAGAATCCTTACCTCCAAGGAGTAGCCTGGTTTAACCCTCTCTAGGATGGATCTGTTTGTTTCCTTGGCAGTCCATGGTACATTCAATACTCTTCTCCAGCACCACAGCTCAAAGGCATCAATTTTCCTTCTGGTCTATAATTTTCTTTTTTAGGAGTGTCTTGGTCTGGGTTTGGTATCAAGGTTCTACTTGCTTTATAGAATAAATTCTAATATGCCTCAGGAAGATTTTGAGTCAGCTCTTCTTTGCAGGTTTGATAACATTCTCTACAGTATTTTAGCTTACTCTTAAGCAGGTGAAATTTGAAAGTTAATAAAGAAAATTAAAGAATAATTGATGCTTTAGAATTGCTATGTTGGTAAAGAATATTGCATATAATATAGACTACTAAAAACCAAATAAATCTAAGAAGAAGTACAGACAAAAAAAATACTCATTGGATTCAGGATGGTCAGACTTTATCTAATTTATTTTAGACATGCTATTAGGAGCAACTAATCCCTGGAGAAGGATATCTTAATTGGTAGAGCAAAAAAAGTCAGGAGAAAAAGAGGAAGACCCTTTTTGAGATGGAATGATATGTTAGCTACCCCAATGGGTTAACATATAACAATGATGATTGTGCAGAGGACCTAGGATGAAAATATGGTTTATACTGTTGTTCACAGGGTTCCTATGAGTCAGAATTGATTCAGTGGCACCTAACTGCAATCATAATTTATGATCTTGGATCAAGTGTAAACTAATTTTTATGTTGTAAAATCAGAACTTTGATTCAGCATTCAGCAGTCCTCATTACCATTTCAGCAATCCCAACTTCTCTTTTTATAACCTCCTCTTTTCAATAAGAGATCAAAACTATGCCTTTGTAAAATTAAGAAAAGGTTGTCAGGAAACATAAGTCCTTGCCTATTCTCCAAGAATATCTACTTTCCTCAGAGATGGCTGGTTGGCCTTGGAAGAAGGTGCTTCCTGAGAAACTTCTGGATCTCCTTCCAAGAATGTTCTTGAGCAGCTGCATGTGGGATTACTTCCCCTCCCCAAAGGATTGGAACGTTGCTGACCCATGAGGCATAGCACACTGGGGTGTAGGGAGGCTCTATCAGATGGCCTGCCCCAGGATAAGACAGCAGGGCCCAGTTGTTCTTTCCATTGCTCTTCAGCCGCTCTATGGCATGTTCAGCACATATTTTGCTGTGTATGTTCTTATCTGCCTCTCCCACAATGAAAAGAAACTGTCCCTGGGCCTTTTCAATGGGAAGGAGAAAGGGTCTAACGGCTTCATCTCGAGGGTCCCCTACAAAATGACGAAATTCAACTAGTCCTAAAGCATTTCTAGATATCAATTCTGGAATAAAGGGTAAGGGCTGCTTGACCTGACCATGATATTTCTGTATATTTTGGAAAACAAAGTTGGTTCCATTAATAAGCACAGCAGCTGTGATTTGTTTGAGATGAATAGCCATGGAGAGTCCAAGCTCTGCTCCTTTGCAGACAGAAACAATCCCAATGCCTGGACCAAGGACCTGAAAATAATAGATATAAAATGTTGACTTTTATCCTTAACTTGACAAAAACCTCACTATCCTGAATGATTAAAGAACTTCAACAGTCAATAGAGGAAAAAAAGAAAGTATTACTTTTGACCACAAACCACATTTCAGCCTCTAAAATATACAATGGATGTACAAAGGAAATGTTCCTTTAAAAGTCTGTCAAGTGTTGCTAACTGAATATTGTATGTTCAGAATTTTGTTAGATGTTGACTTTAAAATGCCCTAAATAAGCATCAATGTTACAAGTAACTTAAGAAAAATAAATCATATTCACATGTACAGTTTGATGCATGGAAGGAGAGGGAGAAGCAAATGGGAAGGATCCAGGTGAAAAGACAGGGTAATGATGGGCAAGGTCCAATGGTGATTAATTAATATTATAAAACAGATTTCAAGATGGCAGTAGGGAGTGCAGTCTGATAAGCTAGAGGAACAGCAAGTTGCATAGAGATGGGCCACTAGAGAGACCTTCATGCCACACAGAGACCAACCGACAAAGTGTGACGTGGACTGTAGGAATTTGATTCAGAACTTTTGTTGGAACAATTAGTTTTGGAGCTACAGGAACATAGAGCCAAGCTGCTATGGGATCCATCTGACAGGAGAAAGGTTAGTGGGAAATTGAATAAGTTATCTTAAGCCCTACTAAGACCAAGTGGGTCTGCTGGAACTTGACTACATTTTCTTGTGCCCCCACCAACCACCCACGATCAAGCGGGTTGGTAGAAATTTGACTGGGTTTTCTTGGACACCACCAAGTGCCTGGCAGAGCACCCAAGTGCAAGCCCACTGGTGGTAATTTGGCTGAGTTCTCTTGGGCCATGTCAACTGCCGAGGAATGGGCAGGCCTGTGGGAATTTATCTGCATTTTCTTGAGCACCATCAAATGCCTGAAAGAGGGCCCAAGAGTGAGTGGGCTGGTGGGAATTTGACTGAACTTTCATGGACACTGAAGACCAGCCAGAGGCGAGTAGATCGGTGGGAATTTGATTGAGTCTTCTTGGGTTCTGCTGGACCCAAGGCCCTTCTAGGGCAGGGGCCACTGTGCAAGGGCACCTGGGTAAGGATCGCTGGTTAGGGACCACTGAGTGAGAGCCCCTGGGTGGGAGACGGACAGCTGGAATTTGAGTAGGGATCCCAATCGTGAGCACACCTAAAGAGCTGAGGTCTGAGTGAGGTCCCACAAGTGGTTGACCTGCCCCTGTGGTCGCCCCACCCCCATTTGGATCCCCACCTGTGCCTACACAGCCAATCAATCAACTTGCCTTTAATCCAGAGCACCTTGATCTGATTTACCTGCAAGAGGCTGCTCTCACAGGCTCTGAATTAAACTTTCTCTTGAGTCAGAAGTTGAGAGAAAAACACAAGTGGGGTAGCTGCCCAACTGATTTCTAGAGCATTGTCTTCAGATCAAAAACATATCAATGTCACAAAGAAAGCAAGCTATTTCATATACTACACAAGTGCAAAGCAAGGAATAGTTTATCACCCCAAAAGGTAACACAGTATCAATGGATTTCCTGAAGTCAGAAAGTCTGATGGAACTTTCTGACATAGACCTTAAAAGAACAATGATTGAATGTTTTCAATGGATGAAAGATAAACTTGAAGAATTACAGGACACTGCAAGTAAAAACCAGAAAGAGCTAAAAAACAAAACAAAACAAAAAAACAAAACACACACCACAAACAAACAAACAAGCAAAAACACAAAGCAATCCGGAACAATGCAGATAAAACTAATGAGGCATTAGCAGCACTGGAAAAATAAGAAACCACTATCCAAAATATGAGGTCCAATGTTTCAGATGCTGTCAATATGATGGAGGGACATATGAGCAGAGTTGAAGAGATGGGATACAGAACTCATAGTGAAATAGAAGATAAAATTGTCACCACTGATCTGCTAGAGTAAAAAGCAGAACCAAAAAGGAAGAAAAAAGAAGAAAACCTAAGAATAGTGTGGGACTCCATCAAGAAAAATAATATGCACATCACTGGAATCCCAGAAGAATTGCTTCTCGGCCTTTTGGCTAAGATCAAGTATGGAATCCCAGAAGAGGAAGAAGCAAGTAAAAGCACCAAAAAAGTTCTGGAAGAATTACTAGAGGAAAACTTCTCAGGCATAATCAAGAATGAGGAAATATATATATTCAAGAAGCTGAGCAAACTCTGTATAGAATAGACCCCAAAAGAAAAACATGAAGGCATATCATAGTTAAGTTTGCCAGAAAAAAAGATAAAGAGAGAATCCTAAAAGCAGCGAGGGAGAAAGAAAGAGTAACCTACAAGGGAGAGCAGATAAGACTAAGTACCGATCTCTCTGCAGAAATCATGTGAGCAAGATGAGAGTGGAAGGACATATATCAAACACTCAAAAAACACAACTGTCAACCAAGAATACTGTACCCAGAAAAATTATCAGTCAAATATTAAGGAGAGATCAAGATATTCCCAGGAAAACAGAACCTTAGAGAGTTTGTAAAAACAAGACCAGCACTGCAAGAAACACTGAGAGATGTCCTTCTTACAGAGGTACTACAGAAAGCAGCATGGATCAAAGTAACTAGCAACAACACCAAAAAGAACTCAACAAAATGGTAGCAATAAAACCCCGCCTTTCAATAATCACATTGAATGTGAATTATTTTAATGTACCAGTGAAGAGAAGAAGCATAGCAGATTGGATAAAAAAACAAAATCTATCAATATGCTGTCTATGAGAGACATACCTAAAAAGTGAAGATAAAGAAAGACTAAAAACAAAACAATGGGGGGGGGGGGAATATACCAACCAACTGGCAATGAGGAGAAAAAGCAGGAGTAGTGATGTTAATCTCCGAAAATATAAATTCCAATGCAAAAACGATCACAAAGAACAAGGAAGGTCACTACATAATGCTACAAAGGGTCAATAGAACAAGAGGACATAACAATAATAAATATCTATGCACCAAATGAAAGACCTGCAAAATATATAAAACACTAACAAAACTGAGAAAAGGAAATAGACAACAGTACTATAGTAGTTGCTACCTTCAATATACCACTCTCAAGAAAAGATAGAACTACCAGAAAAAAACCTCAACAATTAAACCACACAATAAACCAACTCAATCTCATAGATAATTATAGGCTAATGCACTCCCCAAAAGCACAATATACCTTCTTTTCCAATGTGCATGGAATGTTCTCCAGAATAGATCACATTCTAGGTCACAAGGCAAGCATCAACAAATTAAAAAAACAGAAATTATACAAAGTACCTTCTCAGACCACAATCCCACAAAATTAGAAATTAATAACAAGAGGATAAAGGAGAAAACAACCATACATTTGGAAGCTGAACAACAACATGCTTGAATATGAGTGGGTACTAGAAGAAATAATAAATGAAATTAAAAAGTTTTTTTAAACAAATGACAATGAAAGCACCACTTACCAAAACCTCTGGGAAACAGCAAAAGCAGTAATCAGAGGCCAATTTTTAGCAAAAAGCAAACACATCAAAAGGCAGAAAAAAAATGACCATTGACTCTCTAACCCAACAGCTCCAGCAAATTGAAAAAGAACAGCAAAAAAACCCAACACCCTCTAAAAAAACAGAAATTATAAGAATTAGAGCAGAAATAAATGAGAGAGAAAACAAAAAAACAAAAAAAAACAATTGAAACAAAACAAGGAGTTGGTTCTTTGAAAGGGTCAATACAACTGACAAACCACTAGCAAAACTAACAAAAGAAAAGAAGGAAAAGACACAAGTAATCCAAATAAGAGATGAAATGGGAACATCACAACAGAACCAACTGAAAATAAAAAGGCTAACATTAGAATATTATGAAAAACTATACTAAAAAAATAGGAAAACCTAGAGGAAATGGATAAATACTTAGATATGCACAACCTACCTAAACTGACAGAAACGGAAACCGAACACCTGAACATACCCATTACAAAAGAAGAAATAGAAAAGGTAATAAAACAACTTCCAACCAAAAAAAAGCCTGGGCTGGATGGTCTTACAAGCAAATTTTATTAAAAATTCAAAGAAGAACTGTCATCATTTCTACATAAACTATTTCAGGAAATAGAAAAAGATAGAATTCTCCGAGACTCATTTTATGAAGCAAACATATCCTTAATATCAAAGCCAGGCAAAGACAATACCAAAATAGAAAACTACAGACCACTATCTCTTATGAACATAGATGCTACAATACTGGCCAACAGAATCCAATGATACGTAAGAAAAAAACAAAAACAAAACAATTCATCATGACCAAGTGGGATTCATAACAGGTATGCAAGGGTGGGTCAACATAAAAAAAAACCCAATCAATGTAATTCATTACATTAACAATGCAAAGAACAAGAACCACATGATCCTATCAATTGATGCGTAAAAGGCTTTTGACAAAATTCAGCACCCTTTCCTAATTAAAACACTCAACAAAATAGTATTATAGGGGAATTTCTTCAATATAGTAAAAAGTATACACGCAAATTTCAGAGCTAACATGGTTCTCAATGGAGAGAGATTAAAGGCATTCCCTTTGAGAACAGGAACTAGGCAAGGATGCCTACTATCACCTCTCCTATTCAATACTGTATTCGAAGTCTTAGTGATAGCAATAAGACAAGGAAATAAAAGGTATTCAAATTGGCAAAGAGGAGGTAAAATTATCTCTGTACACAGATGATATGATAGTATACTTAGAAAACCCTAAAGACTCAGCAAGAAAACTACTGGACATAGTTGACAAATTCAGCAAAGTGGCAGGATACAAGAACAATATACAAAAATCAATTGGATTTCTCTACAGTGACAAAGAGAACACAGAACTGGAGCCAAGAAAAACAACACCCTTTACTATAGTTAATCATAAGATTAAATACTTATGATTAAACCTAACCAGAGGCACAAAGCATCTGTTCAAAGAAAATTACAAAACATTATTACAAGAATAAAAAAAAATACAGAGACCTGGAGAAATGGAAAAATATACCTTGCTCATGGATAGGAAGACTCAAAATTGTGAAAATGACAATACTACCAAAGGCAATTTACACGTTAAATGCAATCCCAATACAAATACCAATTCCATTCTTTAATGAGATGGAAAAGGCAATCTCAAATTTTATTTGGAATGGAAAGAGGCCCTGAAAAATCAAAGCACTCCTTAAAAAGAGAAACAAGGTAGGAGGCATCTCACTCCCCCATTTCAAATCCTACTACACTGCCATGGTGGTCAAGACAGCATGGTACTGGTACAATGACAGACACATAGATCAATTAAATAGAACTGAGAATCCAGAAATCAGCCCATCAACCTATGGTAAACTGATTTTGACAAGGAGATGAAATCAGTTAAGTGGGGAAATGACAGCCTTTTTAACAAGTGGTGCTGGCAAAATAGGAAAACTATATGCAGAAAACTCAAGCAACATCCACAGCATACACAAAAACCAATTCAAAGTGGATCAAGGACCTAGGACTAAAACCAAGGACTATAAACTTCATTAAAGAAAAGCTTGGAAGAACTCTAGAAGTCCTAATCTACAACAGAAACAGTTTTCCAAGCATCCTGAAAAAACTATGACCAGGAGAGGATAAAATAGAGGAATGGAACCTTCTAAGAATCAAATCTCCATGCACATCCAAAAATTTCTCCAACAGGGTAAAAAGAGAAGCCACACTGGAAAAAATATTTGGTAATGACATGTCAGACAAGGGACTTATATCTAGAATTTATAAAATACTTGAGTACCACAACAAGATAAAGGTAAATAACCCAACTGAAAAGGGGCACAGGATATGAACAGACACTTCACCAACAAAGACATTCAAACGGCAAACATGAAGAAATGTTCA